TGTCATATTCACCCTGAAAGACCATCCCAACACGGACACCCGAAAGGTGACTATTAGCATCGAGATCCGAGTCATCAGATTGTATACACCAGGAGATGCAGGATATCTCATCCTCTTCTGGATTTGGAGCAAGTACACCACGAGTATTTACATGAACTTCTAAGCTCATTATGCTCATATAATGGGTCTGATGTTCGACACTAGTAGACCTTCCTTTCTGCGAGTACTTGAATCCATATTCGTTCTTTTGTGTTGGGCCCTCGATCTGTGAGAGGAAATTAAGTTTCGTGTTCGGTTCGTGTAAATGCCTCTCTGGCAGCAGAGGTTCAGTCTTTGGTTCCCGTTGTTTGCTCTCGAACCACTGTACAACTTCGGAGCGGCTTGGCGGCACAGGGGCGAACTCCCAGACTCTGGAAGCAGTAAGCTCCCTGATATGTTGGTCAATTTGCTCTTGCTCTTGTCTATCTCTTAGTATCGAAGTTTGTTCGCCAAGCATCGCAGGTGACCGCCCGCTGGGATCAAAGTCAGGGAGATAATGTATCCCACTACCTTGTAAGCGGAATTCCCTGCCTGCATAGTCTCGTGGGCGATCTGGCACATCACCCTGGTCACTGTAATGGGCTTTATTATAGATAACAGCCGGATGGCCGTGATCGCTAAGGGTAGACGACACCTCGCTAGGACTAGGGCAAGTTCGCCGCAAACAGCATATCTTTGTGTTCTGCGGTATGTTGAATGTTTCATAGATCATCGGTGCCATCTCTGACAGAAAATAACTTGATATGTTGGACTTGCTTTCTGTGGATGACATCAGGGATGGCAGCGAGTTCTTATCTTCGCTCACATCTTTCGAAGCGTCTATATTGGGTTCGGCTAAATCCTCTATCTCCTGTGTTGCCTTCAAAGAACCGCCATCCTGGCTGAAGCGCAGGATCGTCATGGGGTCGTTTGGATCCTTAACGACTGGAAAACTAAGCCTGCTATTCAGTCCGCTGCCTTTATAATGACCCCTTGGTTGTGTAAGAGACTGTGACTGCGAAGGTGAAAGCGAACTGAATGGTTCATGGCTACGTGCCATATCCTTAAATTTGTCATTATCATCAGTTCGAAAACCTTCGTGTTGATCCCACTCTTCATTATGATGTTCCGAAGTTTGAACACGACTTTTCGAGGCGTATTTCGGCCTCTTGTTAAATCGGGCATGATCAATTATTTCCCTTTCTGAGCGCTTGAGGGATCTCTCTGCCCTCCGTATGTCCTCTCTGATATTCGCCTGGCTATTGATATGTTCCGGTCTACCTTGTGTATAGGTATTAGAGCGATGTCTACTTGATGAGCCTTCTGTCCGGTCGAAGAAAGGCTTATAGTCGGTGGAAGTGCTAGCCAGGGGCGCATTCGGCTCTCGGTGTTCCTCAAAGGGTAGATCAGAGAACGCATCTACCAGAGGGTCGTCAAAACCATCTCTTTCCTCCTCATCGTTACCTTCTTCTGAGAAAAGATCGGCAATGTCATCGTCATCTGAACAGTATGAGCCGTTATCGGACGCTGCAGGTAAGGCCACATTTTCATTAGTATAAGCACCTGCGTTCGCTGATTCATTTACTTCGAGATCCTGAGGCGCTTGCAAATCCGGGAACGTATTGTTATCTGGATAAAGGTCCTCAACACTCTCTAGAACAGTCTTGATATCTTTCTCGAGGGGGTCCTGTACGAGAAAATTATCGACATTAACGTCCCCATCACCATATTGACGCCTCTCCTCGGCGACTGTACGGAGTGTCAACTGACGATATTCCTGCTCATGGATCCACTCTCCTCTATAGCGTTCCCTTGTAGCTGCTGATAGCGAAATTAGCTCCTCGGGGTCAAACGGGCTACTGCCAGAATCAGCTAGTCCCAGACGTTTCTTTCGCCTGCGCGTCTCATCCTTCCACAGCCCTTCCATACTCGGAACAAGTTTCTCATTCTGGTCGACTGGCTTCAGAAACTCTGTAAAATCATGATGTATAGGTCTCTCGCGGACTTCGAGACGATTCAAGATATCTTGCACACAAACATCCACTTCTAGGGGACAGTGACTTTGCTTAGGAAGTTCTGACGCATCCGAGATATTATCTGGTTGTATAGATCGATCATGCCAGCGATGCGATAAATTAGTCAATTCGAGATACTCCGGTACTGGGGATCGGAACTTGACTTTGCTACACTTCATATATGCACAGCCGTACAAACTATAGTCACACATCCATTGCGGGATGTATTGTAAGTGGCTTTCGTAAGGCTGCAAAGACCGCTTCAATATAGCTCCTTGGAGTAATAGGTCCGCTAGTCTTGTCGTATAGATAGGGCTGAGAAGATAGACCTTGAAGAAGAAACGATAGCCCACATGATAGCCATAGAAGGGGACGCCCTTTACTAAGGTAATATGGGCAACAAAGGCAGCCTTTTTGTCATGTGCATTGCGACGGTAACTTAACGCCAAGGCGTGGTCAATTGCGGTGTGCAGATCCCTAATAGCACGGCGGACTGTATACACAGTTTAGCCTGGACCATTATCAGGCTAAGGTACGCTAGATAGACAAACCTTCTTCTGGGCTTAAATCACCGTCGTATGGGACATACAGGTACGGGAACGCGCCGTGAACATGGACGCATACTTTTTGGCCTGTTTCCGTAGCGCCGAATATCCTAATTACGGGCACTTTGGGTCTATCATATTTCTCGGTAGATGGATCCCTGTAAGGAAACGGAGGATCAAACTCGGATGGGGCAGCTTGGTAATGATCCACGCAATTAAGGCGCACTTGAAAGGGCTCCATCGATTGCGTGTTTGACAGCGCAAGCTGTCAGCGACATGACCAGCGTGTATACAGTGAACTCATATCACCCGTGCTGGCACGCTACTGGCGTCGCCATCCGGAATGTCAAGTTAATTGAAGTTGACTGGAACCATGACGTGTAGCAACCACTAAAAGTTACGCGCCTCCCAAGCGCGGACAGAACACCAGGTCACGTGTCCGTTATCAAGCTATCAGGCGATCTTCCAAACTCAAGCAACGGTCTTGCTCTCGCGCGGCAAAGTGCAGGCCGCCGAACAGGTTCACCCTCGCGTCACGGTTACGATCGCAATACAGCCAATTCTATAGTACCCCGGTCCATTACATCTTTCAAGGCACACCGTCACAATGTCATCGCGAAAACCCGCCGATGTGGCGTCGAAGGAGCGCAATGAATATATTCCGTCTTTCATCTCAAAGAAGCCGTTCTATATAGATGACGATTCCACAAATGATTACCTGGAGCATCAACGTCTGCAGAAGCAGACCACAGAGCAGTCGAAGTGGTATGAGCGCGGCAAGCGTGCCGGTCCAGCTGCGACCAAGTATCGGAAAGGCGCATGTGAGAACTGTGGCGCGATGACCCACAAAACAAAGGAGTGCCTTAGTCGGCCTCGGAAGCAGGGTGCGAAGTGGACTGGTAAAGATATTCAGGCCGACGAGGTGGTGCAGAACGTTGATATGGGATGGGATGCCAAAAGAGATCGATGGAACGGCTACGATGCCAGCGAATATCGTCAGGTGGTAGAAGAGTACGAAGAGCTTGAAAAGCTTAAACGGATAACTGGGCAAAAAAAGATCGCAGATGGTGAAGATGACGAAGAAGGTGCGGAAGAGGAGGCACGGTATGCTGAAGAATCTGATATGGGAAGACAGCAAAGCACGGCTACCCGCAATCTACGTATCCGAGAAGACACTGCGAAATACTTGCTCAACCTCGATCTTGACTCGGCGAAATATGATCCCAAGACGCGACGGATGGTGGATATGGGCGCTCAGGAAGATCAAGCCGCAGCACTTGTTGCTGAGGAAAATTTCGTTCGCGCTTCCGGCGATGCTGCGGAGTTTGAGAAAGCCCAAAAATATGCCTGGGAAGCTCAGGAAAGCGGTCGGCAGAAGATTCACCTGCAAGCAAATCCGACGTCTGGAGAGATCTTGCGGAAGAAAGAACAGGCAGATACTGAAGCTAAACGCCAAGCCCAGCGTAAAGCACTTTTAGAGAAATATGGCGGTGAAGAGCATCTGGCTCCGACACCGCTACGAGATACCATGGTTGTTGAAAACGAGAGGTTCGTTGAGTACGACGAGACCGGGGCGATTAAGGGCGCGCCAAAGAAAGCCGCCAAATCAAAGTACCCGGAGGATATCCTCACCAACAACCACACGTCCGTATGGGGCAGCTGGTGGCACAACTTTGAGTGGGGATATGCTTGCTGTTACTCCACGGTGAAGAACAGTTACTGCACCGGCGAAGATGGAAAGAGGGCATTCGAAGAAGCAGATAAGATGCTGATGCTAGATGTCAACGATGGAGCAGATGAACAGCCTGAAGCTGAAGCCGAAGATGCAACAGAACGTCCGAATGAAGAGCAGGGCATTGACGAGAAAAGAACAGAGGATTCCAGCACCAGGTCGAAAAAGAGGACGTTGATGGAAGTACAATCTGGTATCACCGAGGAGGAGTTGGAATCGTATAAAAAAAGTCGTCTCGCGGCAGATGATCCTATGGCTAAGTTCATAGGGAATGACACCCTTGAGCAGTGAACTATATGGATCCCTCCCAGTCTTGATCAATTTTACTTATTTATTTACAGCAGTTTAATATGGGGCGCCGGGCGCTTTTGATGAAATACCCTGTAAACAGTGTATAATATAATTCGTTACCTTACATGGCTATTTTCAAGGTCATCGGGAAGAATCGAGTGGTAAATAAGGAAAAAGAATATTTGTAAATAGAATGTGAGATTCAAGCTTGCTGTCTTGTTATAGATCTGAAAAGTCCATCCCTATTCTAGCTATACTCAAGGTATCATGGATCCCGGAAAGGATACCTTAAATCGACGCTAATACCATGTCGGGCTTAGTTCAAATACTCGGGTGGAGAACAATAGTAAATCATGTGATTGATGATTCCCTTTGGAGGATACGGAGTCACGGGACCAGGGCACAAGCCCTGGTGACACACACTCGCTAAGCGGCAGGCGGCGCCCCAGATCTCAGCGCGCAACTTCCGATACGCCTAGCGACGACGACAACGACAACCAGCCCTTCAGCGGAATCGCCAGGTAGGTCACTAGCCCCCATATGATTTCGGAGCGCAGGATTTTGTGACGGATAATTTTTTGCTGACATTTATCGTGTTCCTCTGCAGTTCCATAATTCAAGATGAGTACGTACAATCTCGATATCCCAGCCGACCAGCAGCATTTGCTTCGACGCCGACAAGACTTTGCAGACTGACACCGATTACAGCGAAGGGTACCTCCAGCTTTGGCAAGCGCCACAACAAGACTCACACTCTCTGCAGGCGTTGTGGTCAGTATTTCATCACTCCGAATTGTTGCCCGACAAAATTTGCCGATCTCTATAGGGGATACAGCTAGGAAATTCGGGAGGAATGTTGGTGTTCAGATGAGCTAACCGATTGCGATTTGCGTTTGGGATATTCAGGCCGCCGCTCTTTCCACGTCCAGAAGTCGACATGCTCCAGCTGCGGTTACCCCTCCGCTAAGACTCGCAAGTGTACGAATCCCCGAGTTATACCTTAAGTCCTGTCCCTTTGCATGGCCGACCGTGGATCTACTGGGAGATGTGATGTGAATATGAGGAGTGTGAGGCTTACGAATTTTCTTGGAACAGTCAACTGGAGCGAGAAGGCCAAGCGCCGCAAGACCACCGGTACCGGCCGCATGAGGCACCTCAAGGAGGTTCACCGTCGCTTCAAGAACGGCTTCCAGACCGGCACCCCCAAGGGCGCTCGTGGCCCCGAGAGCCAGTAAATCAATCCCGACGTCGCGTTTTCGTTCTCGGAGGCTGGAGAGGGCTGGTATGATAAGGCCTGGCATTTGAAGTAGCCGAGTTTCAATGCAAGGCGAAAAAAGACGCTTTCCCCTGGAGTTGGTGTTGGGATGGTCTTTCCTTTTGCCGTCATAGCATGTTTATCCTAGAATAACGACGACAAATGAAAGACGGAAAATTTCTTGGGGTCTTCGATAGGGAGTATCAAAAGGGAAAGCATGCATGAATTTCCTTCCTTGTTTATGGCTGGCGAATATCCCATGTCCAGGCAGATACAATATTGAGATAATATCCAATGTGATCTGTCTACCCGTGTTCACGCACTTTCCGCAGCGTAAGAGCTTTCCTGTTGCTCTATAGACTGGTTTCAGCCGGATCAGTTAAGTTGAGCCACGAGATTGCGGCAATGTCATGTTGCAGGGCCCTTTCTATCACCATGCGCCTTAACGCCAGTATTTGATATATGGACACTTTCTATCCAGTCTATTCCCCTCTACCAAACACGCTGACGCCTCCATCCCTCTGCATGAAGTATAATACTTCTCTCTCCTCCCAGTTGCCCTCCGCACCCACCTCGTTTTGTCCCCAGGCGCCTCCTTTGCTAACTCTTAGCACACCGCTTACGTCCCTAGCCGCACCGGTCTCCAGGTTACGGAGCTGCATGACCATTTGGGCCCTGTGGGCCGATCCTATAGCGAATGCTGCATGCTCGATTTCCAGCGGTGTTGCCGGCTGGGGAGCCGATGCAGATGCATTATGTATCAACGGTGAATCGGAGGAAAGCGTCAAGATCGTTGCATGGGCATTCTGCTAGTTTAGTTAGCAGGGGTATTCATGCATCGTGACGGTGGCTCCTCCAGTGGCTAGCACGTACCTGTTGTAATCCCATAACCCAGTCTCCCATCTCCGTAGCCCCAATACCTCTGCTCGGACCCGTAGCCGCAAGCAGCAAGTCTGGTTGATCGACGATCAACAGGACCTCGGGTTCCTCTACCTCCCCGGGTGTAGGAGCCTTCAATTGTTTGATCACTGTAGCGATGTCTCTTTCGAGATTATCGAGAGCTGCGGTGCCATTTCCCGACAGGTGCAGTCGTTTGACTGGTCCGATTTCCCTTGAAGCTGGGTTTGTACTGCCATTGCCCGGCCGCGGGACAGGGTGCGGGGTTCGCGCTGATACAGGGCTCGGCTGGGATCGTACGGGGAGGACTGTTCGGGGAGCGGCAGTGCCAGGGAATGTTGGTTGAGGGGCTGCTGTGGCAGTTGTAGGATTGTAGAATAGCTCAGATAGCCCATCAACAAATGCAAATTGGCGCTTGTCTGTGAGGCGTGCAAGGTCCAAGCCCTAGTACATTGTCAATATTCATGACCGGGTACTAAGAAATTAAATTTGCATTTTGAGGAAGTTCAAGGAACCAGATAAAGCCGCACACAATTCAAACTTGAAAACCGCAATAGATGACATACATGGAGGGGTAGAAACTCACCAATCTTTTCGCTTCGGATCTCCAAAATTCCCAGCCCCGCAGAAAACTCACAAGCACGACTTTTCTATTCTTCACCCCATCGCTTCCATTCAGTCCAAACGCGGTTTCAGGATTCGAAGGCACACTCAGCGCCGCGTAGAGGAAGCGCAACACTAGCCAATTCCCCGTTGCGCCTAGTACGGAGGATAAGACTGTGAGAGACGATTGCGGCAGAGACGATACATAGGGCGCAAGGAGGGGTGGGAGGGGTGGTTGGGTGGGCATGGTCGAGAGATCGCCCTGTTGGCGCAAGGGTCGCGGGCTTATTCTGGCGTAAACACGAAAAAGTGAATCAGTCGCAGCAATGGCCTTCGACTGTTTTTGTACGATTTCCGTGGTGATTTGAAAAAATGACGTTGTATCAGAGAAAAGTCCAAACTGATTGTATGATTGGTTGATCTTCTTTTCCACTACGCCAAGACTTTCATATCACGGATCAACGACACCTGAGGTATACATCTTGTCCACAACATGCTTTGCCTTCTGCTTTCCACTTCTCCCTGGGTATAATTAGAATATGCTGTTGTATTTGCCTGTTTTAGAGCTCTTATAGTATACCAGTCTAGTATAGGCTTATTGGACATATTGGGGCTTCCTTCAATGTATTGTCTCAAAGCATATATACCCAACAGCAGACTCACATACTAGGTTAGGCAGTTGATATCCGTGCTTGTCTGAATATCACATATCATACTTTTTAAGGAAAGATTTTTCAGGCAGGTGGATACTTGTATCATCATTGGGGAAGAAATATGGGGCACGGCGTAGTTTATCAAACATATGGACCAATATTTATAGTGCCCGTAGTATATATAGTTGTACCTCAAGCTCTAAAAGAGAAGCAATGGGCCTTCATGAGCATTTCCAATGCAATTTCATACGCACTGTGGATCCTATCATCTTAATAGCAATCCCGAGTATATAAATTTGGAGTAATATCTGCATAGGAATCGAGAAATCTTGTTTGAGTCTCCGAAGTTGGTTCCTGAAATTCCGAGAGGCAAACCCACGGACGCGTCACCTGACTGGTGCCTTCCCCCACATCACCCAGAGCGTCAATCAGCATCGTGAATTCCTTCAATGCGGAAGCATTCATCCGATCAGCCAGATATTGCCCTCCTCTCTTCTTGTATATGGGTTCGGGGGTTTACATCTGTCGCTGACTTCTCTCCAGTTCAGTCCCAGTGACATGAACAATTGATTCCTTTCCATGCCTGTCGTGAGTTGAGCCCATGTCGTCTCATGTCTGTCCCTGTGTTCTGCCTCCTCTCTCTCTTTTTTTTTTCCTAAGTCCGTCCCTCATGGATACCCCACCACCGTCAACGTCATAACCCTGCTTTGGTCCTAGTTTGTTTCGTATATCGATTCTCCAGAATGCTTTTCAATCTTGCTATGTTACCTTCTGAACACATTAAAGTTTTGTAAATTGGAATCGACCCTAGCCAGACACCCAAAATGGCAAGCCAAATCCTTACATTATCCCACGCTATCAGTTTATTTTTTGGACATATACCACCGGATATAGTATAATAGCTGATACTAACGGTTTCTTGCAGATGACACCCGTTTTGTGTAACTGTCAGCGTGCACAAGACTTCCGATATTGGAAAGCAGACTCTTATCGATAAAGATGACCAGTACACGAGATTCTCATTCCTATGCTGTAAGTATCCTCCATGTATAAGAAGAGAATAAAGTTGCTAATATGGCCATCGTGCAGTGTGACGAATGCCGCTTGCGCAAGTCCAAGGTTAGAACATACCTCCCACACGGAGGGATCAATTTATGGAGTCGAAACTAATGTTGAATCCAGTGCTCCAAGGAGAAGCCAATTTGTGCGCAATGTAGGCAGCTGAACAAGGAATGCAAGTATAGTCCGAAAATTACTCGGAGCCCCCTAACACGACAGTATGTGCCCCCCTTTGCTAGACGTGTGTCCTGCTTGCTGACGCCCCATTTCAGACACCTAACCTACGTGGAAGACCGTCTACAAGCTTTTGAAACAGCTCTAGGTAGACTCTTCCCAGGCGGTGATCTGGACGCAACGGTTCGATCACTTCTGCACGATCATGAAGGCCCAAAACCAACTCCATCGTCTAAATCCTCTTCTAGACATTCCACTCCTGCTAAAACTGAAGCCGACAGGACGGAACCTGCTCCGGAAGCCCTCCCGCAACAGGCTGATGGATTTGATTGGACTGAAAACAAAATCACCGTCGGTGACTTGACGGATGGCATGGCAGCTCTATCCATCAAGCCGGAGGGTACAGGATATTTCGGTTGGTATCCGTTGAAATTGTTCGATGTCATCTTGCTTACTGGCTTTCTTTGCAGGGGCATCTTCAAGTGTTGTGCCACTTCGAGCTCTATTGAAGCACGGATTTGACTTGAACTTTCCGGTAGGATCAGCAAAACCAAACGCTGGCCCGGAAGGAGTACCTCTGAAGTCTCAGCTTCTGAACACTGCGCCGTCTGGTGTGATTGAACAAGCTTTTATAGATGCATTCTTCTTGAACTACCACCGGAGCTATCCTTTTGTGCATGAGTCCACCTTCAGAGCTCAATTCTATGAACAAGCCACTCGCCGACATGGGCAGGCGTGGCAAATACTCTTGAACACCATTTTAGCATTGGGGGCGTGGAGTGTTGGAGACGATAACTCAGACCTGGATATTACTTTCTATCAGGAAGCCAGAGGTCACTTGCAGCAAGTGTCAGTATTCGAAACCGGCAACCTTACTCTCGTTCAGGCATTGCTACTCTTGAGTAACTATGCGCAGAAGAGAAACAAGCCGAATACTGGGTGGAACTTTCTAGGATTGGCCGTTAGAATGGCTATGAGTCTTGGTCTTCACAAAGAATTTCCAGGGTGGAAAATAAGTCTTCTTCAGAAAGAGATGAGGAGAAGATTGTGGTGGGGAGTCTTTATCTTTGATAGCGGTGCTGCGAAGACGTTTGGTCGACCAATTCTTCTTCCCGAGGAGAGTGTCATGGACGCAAAGCCTGTGCTCAATATCCAGGATGATGTAAGGATTCTTGCGACCTACGCATGGGAAATTACTAACAATGACACATAGGCCCTGACCGCGTCAACGACCACACTGCCCCCAGAAATTAACGGTCCTACTATTTACTCCGGAATGATCGCTCAGGCCAGATTCCATCTGCTCACAAACAGCGTCTACCAGCGCCTCATCTCCACGCCGCCTCTTACCCCGGAAGAGACACGAAGTCTCCAGAAACCGTTGGAGGAATGGTACAACGGCCTTCCCGATTATTTCAAGCAGCCAAGCTTTACATCAGAATCCGATCCTTTTGCTTTGGTTCGAAACCGGCTTATGTGGCGACACTGGAACCTCCGGGTTCTTCTGTATAGACCGATCCTCCTTCGCTGGGCTTCGAGACGATGGACACCTAGTTCATCTAATGAACCGGAAGATCCTCTTGAAGCCGAATGTAGAATGCTGTGTCTTCGAAATGCGCGGTTGACCATCTCCTCAATCAGTGATTTCATGAGCAACTATCTCTGCACGAGAATAGGAGCATGGTATATGCTCTACTTCCTGTTTCAAGCTGGTGTCATCCCTATCATCTTGCTTATGACAGACCCTACCAGCACAGATGCCCCAGCTTGGCTTCAGGACATCGAAGCGACTAAAAACCTCTTATTGCATCCCTCACTGAGTAGTAATCGGCTTGCGGCTCGTTGTCTGGAAGTCATTAATCGGCTTTGCTCACCTGCGTATACGAGCACTACTGCTGACAGGCCACCAGGTCAGCCGCCTATTTTGATGCAGTTTCCTGACCAGCTGTTTAATGACCCGGCCTTCGGTGCTATGTTCCCAGATGTCGACCAGGAGCTGAATTTAGGCGGGATGGACTTTTCTGATTGGGTCAATTACACACCACAGGCCGAGTTTCCTTGAACTAGCAACGGTTACGATACGGTGGTCACCAGGACCATAGACATTACCCTGGGGAACGATTGTGTCGTATATATATAGGTGAAATTCTTCCGCGATTACTATAGCGACATAATCGTGGTATGTTTACCGATTCCGGACAGCCAATGTCGAAAACGTGCACCGTTATGTGCGAGGCACTTGTTGAGGGGGAGGGTCTCAAACGTACTCTTCCTGCTGCACGGAGGGCTTCACTAAGGTGTCCTTATTGGGCCCCTGCGTGCCACGGAGCTCAGCCTCAATCTGAACAATACGTTGTTTCTCTTCGTGGGCTGCTGTGTCCCCGAAGATAAGATCCATATCCTCCAATGTCTGATAATAGGCTTCGGTTAGCACAGGACAGATCTTGGTGTACAGTTGTAAAGCCCATGAGCCACAAACCTTTCCACGAGTCTCCGGAATACAGAAGAAAGTGAATGCCAACGCAAGGAGACAGAATGCCGCAAAGAAGATATATGTACCCCACGTGATTGACTCGAGCATATCGGGGGTGATCAATCCAATGATACTAGCATGCGATGTCAGCCAACGATCAACACGGAATTCCCGAAGAAGATTAGATCAACGCACAAATTACACATCCAAGTCGCCGACGTTGTGATTGAAATGGCCTTAGAACGAATGGAAAGGTTGAAAATCTCTGAGGGCAGGACCCATCCAATGGGAGCTATATTGTACCTAGTCAGCAATTGACTCTTTCACAATACCAAAGGAAGCATGTAAAGGCAAGCCCACCAAAAGAGTAGGAAAAGTTAATATCGTAAATATAAATGAAGGCAATACCTGCCCACCCAGCGGATTTATGGTTGACCAAATCGGATCCATACGCCCCAATAAGCGCACCCACAATCACCAGCGAGATACAAGTCCCTACAGCACCAGACATGAGCAGAATCCGACGACCAATCTTATCAATCAAGAAAAGCGCCGGAAGAGTACTGAGACAATTAACGATGCCATACACCCCCGTCGCAAGAAGAGAAGTCTAGTCATGTCAGAAAGAGTCCAGAACACCCAAACCAAGAGCATAAACATCACATACAGTATTCCCATCCAGACCCAACTGCGCAAAGATCGTTGGGGCGTAATAAATCATGGCGTTACACCCCATAAACTGCTGAAAAAACATCACACAGCACCCGATAGCCAACCTCTTGAACCGCGCCCACGTCGTCAAGAACGACACATACTGCGCAGCATGCAGCCGGAGACCAGACAAGCCCGGGAAATGGTCCCGGGCGAAGGTATTCTCTAGCATAATCGACGCCTTGATCTCGAGGAACTCGTTCACCAGCGCGGGACTGTCTCTGGCCTGGCGGCGGAGCTTGGAGAGCGCTGTTAGAGCTTCGTCGTCACGTTCTTTCATCGCCAGCCAGCGCGGGGAATCGGGGAAGAAGATTATGCCGAGGCCTAGGATGAGGGCTGGGAGGATTTGGAGAGCGAATGGGAGGCGCCAGGAGGCTTCGGATTGTCCTGTGCAGCCGCCGGGCGGGACGTCTGTGTAGGGGTTGAAGGTGGGTGTGGTCTTTACGGGGCCTGTGTAGGGGGTGTTGGGGGCACAGCGCGTGCCACCTATGTAGTTCGTGCCGTAGTCGATCCAGTAGCTGATTAGGATGCCGATTGTTATTGAGACTGTTTTTGGGGTTGTTAGTATGCTGGCGGTTTGCGTTTGGAGGGGTATGGGCTTACGTTGTTGGAGGACGACGAGCCCACCGCGGATTTCGGGGATGGAGACCTGGACGGGGTGAGACTTTGGGGTATATTGCGGTGTGAGTTGAGGTGCTATACCTCTGAGATGTAGAGGGGCACGATCATGGTTAGTTGGCCAACGGCCAGACCGGCAATTGCACGCCCTATGCTGGTTTCAGTATTGCTGAAGGCTCTATGTGTGCATGCCACGTACCGACGAAGAGCATTGGGATGTTCACGGCACCGCATTGAATAGCTGATCCTATCACGAAGATAACGACGGCGACATTCATGGACAGTTTCCGCCCAAGTCGATCGGCGATTGGACCGTTGATTAGGGATCCGAACCATGCAGCTATACTATGTAAGCTATCCTCTGTTCGGAAGCAAGAGATGAGATTGGGAACGCATACCGAGGAGTAGTGTCGACACAAACCATCCTTTGAAGCCACTGTCGGTGTATATTCGAGGAAATCGCGCTCCAAAGGACTCCATTGTGATGACCCCCGACACCACGCCCTGATCATATCCGAAGAGGAGTCCTCCCAGAGTTGAGAACTGCAGCCGGTATCACGGTCAGTCGCCTTTGCAAATAGCCATACTTGTATGCGCTCACCGAAGCGACACCCAGTAAATAGGGATTCTGGTAGATGAGGGCAAAGCCCCCTCCAGGGCGATGGTCTATAACTGTTGATTCCATTTCTGCGATTCAGCGCATTGTATAGTATCACATAACGAAGTAGCGCGGTAGACACCACAGCGCTCTATATACATCAGTTCTCTCGACTGTTTTCGGTCGACCTCCGAGGGGTGAGTGAGGTTGATCGCACGACAGTGCTCCGTTGCAGTCTGAATATCCTTTATAAGGGCAACGGAGGGCAGTGTTCCGACCAATGAGTACATTAAGCAAACGGCGGACGACATCATGAGATGCTAAAATGCGGGGAAAGGTTAAATGTCGATCTCCTTCTCTCGGCTGCTTCGGCCACTCAAGACGGCGGAATTCCGACCCGCTCATCATCGGGATGTCTGAAGTTGGATATCTACCTTTGTTGTACAGGCTGTAGATCAAACCATTGGAGTCGTTGGAGACACAAAGTGCAACATAAGCTTTCAAAAAGAGTTTAAAATTCCCATCGACGAGGGGAAGGATTCCTTGTCACTGATTTGGGTGTATTCCACGAGCCATTCGGGACGATGGGACGGTCCGGTCGGCCATCCCCCGATGCCAAAAAAGTTTCGGTAAACGTCAAAGAGACCTGTGGTGAAGGATATTAGTATTAGAAGACCCTGTTCTCCAAAGTTTGCTTGGTTTTTATGCTGTGGCGCATAGCTCTGTAAAGCAGGATGGTAAAGACCAACTATAGAGTGATTCCGTTTGACGATTCTTATTATGAATAGTGTTGTTAAGTCCATTGCATACTTTGACTTGCCAGTCGACAATGCAGGTTGACGTCGATATACAATCGACCTTCATCTCAGCGATGATATGCATGCACATTGTTTAGTTTGCCGTTTGATGGGCTTTTGGATTCCAAACTCAAGCATCAATGAGTCGACGAGGTCCCTCATTCGCTTTCTCGATCAAGTCACATACAATAGCTCGATAAAGTGAACTTGGCAGAATGAGCAGGTCATTCTGACACTGGGTTTCTCTCATCACTATATCTCAGTCATGTCCAGATAATATCACATGACATGACGTTCATTCATCTTGCGAATATTAGTAACCCATTGATAACTTCATATTGAACTTAATCCCTTGGCAAATATCCTCCAGGTGCATACTAATCACTTGTTCCCGAAGGAAGGCTAAAAAAAGGTCATCAGGTTTGCGGACCCGCGTACAACAATCGACCCTGAATATGGGTCTGTTTGTCCAATCGGAGCCTGTCCTCATGAGTCATTCTCGCTCATTATTACTAGTGAATGATGGCGGCTGTAATCATACTGTATGCAACTTGCATACAGTTTTGATACAGCGAGCATCATACATGCATGATATGATAGTGACTTTCTAGTATAAAAAGGTGTAGGGATTTTATGAAGTCGAAGATGAAATACACTATACTAGAAAAACGAGTTATCTTAATTGAATCCGATTTATTGACAAGGCGGGTTAAAACATTGATGGCAAGTGTATATCACTGATACCCCATATGGTACTGAAATGTCATACAGATACTGAGTATGATATTTGTTACCCTTCGGGACGATCCACGGAACCTTGATTGATAGGGTCAGTTTGAATCCACTTTAATTGCCCTCCGTTTGTTACTCCACAATTTCTACGGGCATGAAGAAATCCATCTCTGAAAGATTCTATATCCTACACATGAAGGATTAAATTTTATCTGTCGACATCGTCAGAGCCCCACATACAATTTTCTCACTGTTTTGCACTGCCATGCTTGGATGATCTAGTTTGCTTACCCTGTAATCCTTACAGGTATTGATTATTTCCTACGGTGAAGGGGGCACTAAATGGACGAACTATGACGGCAAGATCCCTCTCAATTATAATGTCACTAATCTACATATCCAGAAGTATAGAGCATAGAGCGATAGGTCACTATTTTTTTTGCCGTCCGGCAAGACATCTCAGGGCTTCCGTTTCACCTTCCAACTTAGAGACGCGCATCTTTAGTGCATCACGCTCCTCTTTCACTTTGCGCAGTTCCTCTTCCAAACTCTTCAGCTGATCCACTCGCCTTTGCCGATACCGGCGAGCAGCTAGTGTATTCTGCTGGCGCTTCTCAATGCGAGAGGTGCTGGTGGATTTTGCAGGGCCAGAAACTGATGGAGTAGGAACAGACTCGCTGGAAGGAGACGATGAGCTGGGGGACGATGTCATGGTTGCAGGTGGAGGCGGCAAAGTGGCAGCGGGCTCAGGACAGTAATCTGGGGTTGGTTAGATACATCATATAGAACAATCCAAGAAATCTTGAACGAACCTTCAGGACATGTTAGACCAGCATCAAGGGATTGGAGGAATTCTTGAGAGTCATGAAGTTCCAGGATCGAAGTGAAATCATTATTGACAGGTGTAGGCAGTGATTCTATAACAGGTGTCGGATAGAGAGCAGTCGAACTGGCTATCGATGGCTGATAATAACTGGCATCGAGCGTAGCCCAAGTATCCCAGGATTCGAGGCCAGTGAACTCATCACCGGATGGGTTGATTTGTGATTCTAGGGACGACTGCGGAGAGTAGGAAAGGGGGTTGGGGTGGTAGGGCGGATCGTAAGATTGCAAATAGAGGTCTGCGGGATGAAGGTGGTTTTGATGGGAATCGTAACTACTGTTGCTGCGCCTGGTAGTAGAAGGCTGCTGCGAGCTGAATACATGCCACGGCGGAAGACACTGCGGTGGACATGATTGTATTGCGCGGACGGGCCTCTCTCAGGCCCGTGGGGTCTTGCCAAAAAGATAGAAAAAGGCGGTTTCAGTCCTTCGTGCAGGACAAAGGTGATGAGGTTGAAAAGGAAGAAGGTAGGGTGGGATTGAACCGTTTTATCTGCGGTCCGAAGAGTGGCTGAGTCAGTTCAGATCAAAGACTGGAGTCGAAACTCTAATTAGTGTCCACTCTGTGCGGGTCCGTAATGTGCATGGGTTCGTATCAGTATTGTAATACTCTCAAGAACAATACAGTACTGAAATCTGCATGAAGAGTAGAACTTCCCACATGGATGCACACAATATTTCTGAGCATGACCCTATTGGACAAGCTCATACGTACAATTGTAATATCCATCTAAACCAAATGGATGGAAATTTGGTCCCCGGAAACCTACTTACCTTTTCAAACAAAGATGTGGGCCAACTAGAAGCAAATCGCCCGACGTCTAGAATCGCGCGTCGGAGTCCCCGATGCTACCATCCTTACTCCGGAGTACTATCGAGTAAGCTAGGGCTCTGCCCTGTCACTTTCATTCGAATAAGGACTCGCGTTGGAGGACAAAAGAACCCAGGTCATTGCCAATTGCCCAGCTAGACTGTCGAAAGTCATGTACGAACTGAACCCAACCACTGACAGGCATAGCTCCTACATATCATATTCTTATAACTACATGTCTGATTCTTTCAAATATCTAAACTTGCATACCCAATGATGTTTAAGAGTATGTCATCCTCACGCAATTGAACTCTGGCGTCAAAGACTCCTCAGATATTGGATTCCTTCTATCGTCAACTGTAGATCTTCAACACTTTCTCTAATTTGTGACTTAGGCAAGCACCACATCCTAGTTCTCTTTTATACAGCCTTGGGAGTATATCGTAATCTCGGATCTCCCTGGGCCACCTCCAACACCCTAGCTGTATCTGGAAGGTCCCAGAAATCTTATCATCGCGATTCTCAAGGCTGTATTTAACTTAAGATTGCCACCGAATTGCGCCTGAATTTCCTCCGCATTGTACTTTGTAATATCGGAGGTAAGAAGGAATGAGTTTATGGTTTCCCTTACACTTGTATATGCTTTACGGTAAAAGCAAATTATGGCCCGAGTCCTGAGGATATACTGGAATGGAAAGCTTAATACTTGGAAAACCTAACAAGATGGAGACCAGCAAGGGTAGGTAAGTCCAGCTGCAGAAACCTCATGTGGTGCATCTGAAGTTTACGCCTAGGACAATTGAAGAATATTTCACCTGATCCCATTAAGAGTTCACTCTGAAGAGATGCACCAATTTACTGTCTTGAAGCAATTACAACCTGGAAAACTCCAATTTGGTTCAGAAGTGGAAAGGTCATCCATGTTGGTAGAAGCCCACCTCGTCAAACATGAGGGCAGGAGCGTTTTCGTTCATTAAAGAGGCAGATTTTATTAAATAGCCTCCACCCAGATAATATCTGTTGTAATGATCTGAAACGCAAAACTTGAAAATCACGCTCATACCCATGCAACGCGTAAGACAGACGCTAAGCAACAGACTTACAGACAGATCAATAGATGAAGAAAAGAGACAAGGAAGCGAGTGGAGGTGTGAACTCTCGATTGTACCGAAAGCAAATGACACAGTCCAAAGATCCTCCGCCGAGAGAGTGGCGATAATAGCAGCCTTCCCTTGAAAGAACGCTGCTCAGAGAGCCTAGGAGCTAGTCAACGAGCGTAGTATGAGGTCATTGATTGCTAATCATAAGAGAGAAAGATTTGGACGTGATGCTCCGTAGCGACCCGAATTTGGGGTATTGAAGTATCAGCATTAGGAACATAATCGAGAATCATTTGCGAGATTCACTAGGTTCCCAATGAATTGGCTCAAAGTCTTGGTTCTGGAAATGAGCTTGATTATAGGGAGAGCTACCCAAATATTAGTGCTGGTCATTTACAGGTCTGCAACGGAGCGGACATACTTTTTAAATGGCGTTGTGACCGGAAGAGAGTGGCTTAGATTAGGCTTCATAACCAGCGGATTTAGCCGAATCTGTGGCCCGTCGGACGAGCGGCTGGGTAAAGAGCTCATCGGTGGAGGTGCTGACATCCGAGGAGGTGGGGGAGATGCCACAGGGACAGGCGGCGAGGTGTGCATGGGAGGTTGATAGACATCTGGAGCCGACGAGATTTCGAACGGACTGGCCGGTGCGGCAGGGATCGGAGGAGGACCAAGCCCAAAAGTTGGATCCATCATGAGATTCGGGATTGACATCAGACTCGAATTCACATCGAATGAGAGCGCACCTTGGTCCCAGGGGGTGTAGTTAGAGGTCATCGCGTATTGATAATTGACCACAGGCTCCATATTCACAGTAGGATCAGCTTGGTAGAGCAAATCATAGTGGCCCCTGTATAAGAGATTAGCGCATTTGGTGAGCCTTGAAAAGGGTCATCATCAAAGCTTCTACTCACGGGCGATATAGTAGACGAATGGTCACAACATTTGGCCGGGAGGGAGTCAACATGTGAGGAGTCACTGCATCGCCTTCGCTGCGGTCGAGGTATAAGATCTCAACCGCGAACCCAGCTCGCTCGATCACACCGTCAACCAAAGCTTGGAGGCCGACTTCGTCAATCTCCGTCCTGACCGTGTCGATTCGGGTTGCGCAATACTGCTCCAGGGGCAGCGAGAGAAAAGCTTGGTAACGGTGAGGGTTGAGTTTCATCCATGCACTTGTCAGAAGCTATTGTGTTTGCAAAAAGTCAATCATCGTTGGCCAAACAAACTCCGAGCGCCTGGTATCCATAAGGGAGGAAACAGGACAGCACGTAAGGGTTGCTACTGACTCTGAAATGCGTTATGATGGCACTCGAATTGTATTCGTTGTTGAAAGCGTCTACGAGAAAGGAATCATCGCGGATGCCGTTCTGTATCGCGTCTGATATTTGATTAAAGAGCTCTTCTGTCGCATCCACGAAAATTTCATATAATGCCTCCTCCTGGCCGACCTGATCAAGGAGCGAATTCAACGACTTGATCCGGTCCAGCTCATGGCGCAGTCGGAGCGGGTCGCGCAGGTTGAAAAGATTCTCGAAATATCCGAATGCGACAGCTATATCAAGTGAGTCAGCGTGGTACGAGATCTCAAAGGCGAGAATCATCACCTCTCCAGCCACAGTTGCCATCCCCTTTCATAATACGGGAGAATGGGTGGGTTACTGCAAGCGCCTATGGTTGGGATGTTTAGCATTCTGTAGCTCTGTAGGAACCCCAAGGAGCAGCCACATACGCTAGTTTTTGCGACAAAAGTAGGATCAGCACTCGCATAGTCCATGGCGATAGCAGTGCTTGGTTGTTTCGTTGACACTAGAGGGCCCTTGATTTGGCGTTAGTTACGCTGCATGGTCAGTTTGGGGCTCAGCAGGACTTACCTGGATGTCCGGTTCAAACTCGTTGGACAGTTTCTGGAACCGCTCCATTTCTTCTGTGGAGAGGGTGTTCATGTTGAAGAAAGCGGAATTTCCAGGATACACGGCACTTGGTGGATGAGAATACCCGGAGTCGAAAAAGGCTGATGAATGGGGAGAGTGGTGGTGATATAAGTTGGTTGTGGAGCTTTGTCTACCAGGGAGAGGGTGATTCAGAAGACCGGGATGATTCCAAGGGACATCCGCCAAGGACATCGCATATAAAACTCAGGGAAGTTCTGAGCCTCAAGGACCTTTCAGGTGCAGATTCACAAGTAATTTAATGTCTTTAATAACGTCCGACAGTGTCAGCCTGCTTCATGGCAACAGGGAACATCAACGATCATAGCAAGATACGCACAAGACAAAGAAGCATCTTCCAAGCAAGGTAGTTGTGCCCCCTGCTGCGCCTTATGCCCCAAAGAAAATTTGGACCGGATCAGCTCGGCGGATCGTCGACGATGACAACCTACTCATCACTATCTTAGCGCACAGACCAGACAACGGCTTGTATGTAAGGAATCCAAGCAACTGGTACGATCTAGAAAATCAGATGCACCAATAACGGGGGGATACAGGCAAGTGATCATAGAGAGGAGGAACAATACCCACAGCCGCACACGGTGTGGGTAGTTGTGTAACAAAGCATCAAGAGTGGACAACTGGATCCCAAGCCGAACGAGAGAGCCAATGAGGAGAGCACGAGGATGGATGAGAAGGAGCAGGGAATGACAGCATGGATGACGGAAAAGGCAGTTGAAGATTAGGTCCTCAGCTGCGTGTAAGCCCGAGAGCTAAACACAGACACACACACAATATCACAGATGTGACATCCAACCAGTCTCTGATGAACCACCGACTCGACAGACGACCTCTAGATCGGTGGTCTGTCCCCTCGTGAAGGTCACAAGGATGGGGACGAGAACGAATGATAGTGAAAGTTTAAATCGGGCAATGATTCCACCTAAGACCAATGATTGAAGGGTTAACTCCAATGGTAGAGTTACTGGTACTTTGCCCTTCTGGTGGAACGAACAGTGGTCGAAGATTCGAAGGGGGTGATTTGGTGGTGTTTTGTTTTTGTTTTGGTTTTTGTAAAGGTGGGTAATTAATAACTCTATATCAACGCAGAAAAGTGGGTGGTAGAGGATCAAACACAAAAAAAACATTCTAAAAGGCATAAATAAATCAAGAGTAAACGAGGGGAGGACGTGGCAGTCTGATTTATCATCGTCACAAAAGAACAATTAAGATAAGAATGAAAAGTATAGTAACAATGTTTAATCAAAAAGGAAGAAAGAAAATGGGCTCAGACCTTCTGACGTCTCGTTTACGACAACTGTGCATACACGTGCCTGAGGTGTGTATGCGGATATGTAAAATGAAGTAGCAGCAGTAGCAGGAAATGATGCGATGGAGGATACTTTTATTGCCCTTGTCAAGGGGGAGGCGGTGGGTGAGATCGATGATGTTCAAAGAAAAATAGTAGATATTAACGGGAATAAGATGGAAAGACGACAGGGATCCGAGG